TCGAGCGTTCGAGCGTTGCCGCCGAGAGCTCGCTCGCCGTCGCCCGTCGTCCTCGTCGCGCGCCCCCCAGTCGCCACTCGTCGTCCGTGCATTGTCGCCGCCACGCCGTCGTCGATCGTTGTCGTCGTCGTTGCCACCGTCATCGCTGCCTTCGCCGTCATCGTCGCCGCCGTCATCGTCGTCAAAACTCTCGGTCACGCGTCGCGCTGCCGTTGTGGTCGTCCGCGTGGTCTCCGTCGTCATCTCCGTCCTCGGGCGCTGTCGGTCGTGCTCGCCGCTATCGGTCGCCGGTTGTCATCGTCTGGTCGTCACCGTCGTCCGCCGCCCATTGCCGCCGTTGTCATCGTTGATCCTCGCCTCTATCCTTACCTTTCGTCGTGCTCAGCCACCTGCCGGCATCGCCGACCTGGGCCGGGTCGCCGTGGTTGTGCTCGCCGCCGCGTTGTGGTCATCGTCGTCGTCGGGTCGTGGTTGTGCTCGCCACTGCCGGTTGGCAGTGTTTCGATGTTGGCGCGGGACCCCGGGGGCAAAACATGAGGGCCACCCCGGCACTTCCGATTCCTCGATTCTGCAGTGAGCATCCGAACAATTCGTGAATCAAACTTCCGCTTTTGGGCCTGGCTGCTGCTGCTTCGGCGGGGCCTGGCGAACCTGACAACATCGAGACTTCGCTGGACCGCCGCCGCAGCCCCGGAGCCCACCCAGCGCCGCACCCGACTCGATGACGATGAGTCTTGTACAGCTTGCCCAGGCCTTCCAGGGCTCCGTGTTGGAGGATTGCTCTGAGGCGGGTCACTGCCCTCGAAGCTAAGCAGTGCAAGCACGCCCCAGCCAAAGCTGAACAGTGCGAGGGTGTGCAAGTCTATGCCATTTTTAGCTCAATTAAGCCTCCCTGCACCGCTTTTTTCTTGGCTTAAGCCCTCATGACCTTTTAAAGAAGAGCCCTAAACCCCTATGCACCCAAAAGGAACAAAACATTCCGTTTCCGCCTTTCGGCCCTGTTAAATTTAGGGGACGCTTGCCCCGAAAATAGCTAGGGGGGGTGCACGTTTTTGCACGATTTTGCATGGCTTACATGATTTTGCTCGGCTCTGATTTTAAGGGGCAAGGCAAAGCACAGCAAGGCAGCAAACACAGCAGACACAGTAGGCGCAGCACCGCAGTCGCACAGTGTCGGGGTGGGTCCGGCCATCCGTTTTGACGCCGGGGCCTGTGAGCTTGGCGTAAGTGTTGGTGGAATGCAGCGTGCTGGTAGGATTGCAGTTCTGGCAGTAGCTAGGTAAAGTGCCCTGCGCTTCCCTCCGCCCCTGCCTGTCCGGGGAGCTCCCGGCCCTTGCCCTGTCCAGGTGTTTCTTTCGCCAGCTCCGTCTTGGCCTCTGTCGGAGCTGGGGTTTTTCAAAGGTGCAGAGGCTCCGAGGCTGCCAGGTTTGGAGTGAGTCCGTCTGCCAGGTTTCGGGGCTGGTCGGTCTCCCTGGTCACTTTCCCCGTCCTCTCCCCGCAGCTCCGGTGTCGTGGCCAGGTTCGTCGCCGTCATCCTCTTCTCACTGAGGTCCGTGTCGAGCTTGGGGTTTTCAGGGTTCGCTTGTGGTTTTCGTTTGGGGGTTGAGGCTTCGGGGCTGTGCTCGTTGCCACGTCTCCAAAAAGCCCCCCAACCGCCCACTCTGGCCAGGCCGTGCTGGTCACGACTTCGCTTCGGGAGCCAGGTTGGGTCGTGACTGCTCCTGCGCCGGTGTCGTGTCTCGATTGTGCGTTGACGATTGCCACTGGGGCTCTTGAACAGCGCAGCGTGGCTGCATCAGCGATCTTTTGAGTTCGTGTCGCTAGCCATGGCTGCTCTTGTGGCCGCGACGTGGTTGCCACCTCAGGCTGTGATCTGCTGCACCAGCTCAGAGAGCGAGAGCTGTTTTGCTGCATGTTGTTGGCTTCCTGCAGGCCACGCTGGCAGGATGGCACGGCCACCGGTAGCCCGTTTCTGAGCACCGCGACCTTGACATTGCCAGGTGGCCGGTCCCATCCAAGGACTTCCTGGTCAATCTGTGTTCTGGTTTGGGGGCTGTGGCGACAACATGCCAGGCCGGAGTCGGTCCGCTGCTGTGGTGTCAAGAGGCCGCCCATCCTGGTGCTTGATACCCCGCGAACGGCCAAGCAAGGCTGGGGGCCGTTGAGGCGTTTCCCTTTGCTACTTGCTTTGCTGCATTCCGAGGCATGGACACGGTTTCCAGCTTTGCCAAGACTCTGTCGTCGGACGGATCGCTGGCCCACGCCGGGACCCGAAGACTCAGCCGCCCTGTTTCGCTGTGCTGCGGTAGGGTCTTGTGCAAGCTGTCCGCAGGGTTTCTTCTGAGGTGATCGTGTGCGCCTCCTCGGCCGCCATGGCCATCGCCTTCGATGCCGGTGGACCGCAGCGTCAGGAGAACTATTGGGTAGACGACTTGACCAAGGACGAGGCCCAGGAATTGCTGAACCTCCACGGGCACAAGGACAAAACGGACGAATTCCTTGAAGCATGCCCCTTGGCTGCATTGTTTGCTTTGTTTTGTCGTGAGACGCATCCTGCGCTGGGTGGGCAGCCCTTGAATCCTTTAGGCGGCTACAACGCGCTGGATCTGGTGCTCACCTGTGAGCGCTACGCCGACGTTGGAGAAGAGGCGCTTCAGGCCAAGAAGGCGGAGATGGAGAAGAGGGCCTACGAAGATGTGGAGACTTTTTTGAGGGATTGCAAGTTCAAGACGGTAGATGGCATCACGCCGGCCGGTGCGAACATCTTGAAGGCGCTGCTGCAAAACCGCGCGGGCGGTGGCGCTGTTGGCAAGCTGGCAGGCGGCAGTGGCGCGCTGCCGAAGGATGTTGCGAAGTGGATCCGGGAGAGGGATGCCCACGCGGTCATTTGGCACATACAGGATAAGGAGTACCAGTTCGCGTCAGAGCTGCATGCAAAGCTCGTTTCCAACAACAGATTGATGATCTGTCTTCTTGACCGTGAAAAAAAGGTGAGGGTTCCTGCTAGTTGGAACTTTGGCAGTGCTGTGCACGGGCGCACGATTTCCTTAGCTTTGCACGCCTTCCGAGATAGTTTATCCTGCTCCAGGTTTCTCCGCGCTTT